CCCATCACTACCTCTGTTTCTTCTATCATACCTATCATACCAGTTGTATCTGTCCTCAGCCTTTGTTTCATACTCCATGCAATTTATCCTGCCTCAACTTCCAGTCATGTCAGGAACATTAGTTATTTTATGTGTGGCAAGAAAGAGGTGCTTTTTTAAATGCAAACAAACAATGATCTGGCTGTCCCGACACGAACCCTATTTATTGTTACCAATTTGTCCACTTTTATATGGCGCAGGATTGTGGGGAAGGATTTGTAACGTTCAGCGGTATTAATCATTTCATGTAACATCGAGCGCTGCTCTCAGAAAAAGCTTTCCATTTTCTGTAGCTGGAAACGTCCTGCAAATAGACCGTTTCCTCCGCTTTCCAGGAAAATGTGAGGGCGGCTGTATTCATGTTTATAAGGGCTCTCAACAAAATTTCATCTCGGCTGAAATATAGGTTTTTTTTTTGCTGAGTTGATTTTAGTTCTGAGAATGTTTGTCTATATTAGAAGCACAAACAGTTACTGCATTTCAGGAGGAAAATGGAAAGTGAAGAGTCTTCCAACAGTTCAGAGTATTCAGGAAAGGAGAGCCAGCTAGAGGAAGGAGATACCTCCAGCAGTTCAGAGCATTCAGGAAAGGAGAACTAGCTAGAGGAAGAAGATACCTCCAGCAGTTCAGAGTATTCAGGAAAGGAGAGCTAGCTAGAGGAAGTAGATACATCCAGCAGTTCAGAGTATTCAAGAGAGGAGAGCTAGCTAGAGGAAGGAGATACATCCAGCAGTTCAGAGTATTCAGGAGAGGAGAGCTAGCTAGAGGAAGGAGATACCTCCAGCAGTTCAGAGTATTCAGGAGAGGAGAGGAAAGGAGAAAGGAGAGCTAGCTAGAGGAAGGAGAAGAGACCTCCAACAGCACAATGTATTTCAGAAGAGGAGAGTTAGATAGAGGGAGAAGCGTCATCCAGAAGAACAGAAGTAGAGTTAGATAGAGGAAACAGAAGAGACGTCCAACAGCACGAGGTATCTGCGGAGAGGAAAGTAAAGCTGCCCATACACCTTGCGATCATCGGACAAAACTTTTCGTCCGAAGATCCAACCGTCGTACGATTTTCGTATGGCGGCCCCATCCCGCCCCAATTATCGCAAGGTTGAATCAGCAGTAATTAAAAGAAAGCACCTGGACGAATTGCGGTAATCGACCGCACTTATTTTAATCTGCACATGCATGAGCAGTGTAAATAGTATGAATTTTGACATATGGAAACGCCACCAACCTTTGTGAAAATCGTACGATCGACCAAAGTTTTCTAAGCTGCTGGTTAGTCAAAAGTCGATCGATTGTACAGTATTTGCGGTTGTACACTGCCCATCAACCTTACGAATATCGGACGAAAACACGATCGCATACAAAAATCCGTCTGATATTCGTAAGGTGTATGGGCAGCTTTAGATTGAAGAAGGAGAAGAGTCCTCCAGCAGCTCAGAGTTTTTCAGGATAGTGGAGTTAGAAAAAGGAGAAGAGTCCTCCAGCTGTTCTGAGAATTTCAGGTGAGGAGAGTTATATAGAGGAAGGAGTAAAGTCCTACAGAAGAAAATAGTATTTCAGGAGTTGAGAGTTAGATTGAGGGAGGAAAAGAGTCCTCCAGCAGTTTAGAGTATTATTTATAGTTATTAGGGATGCACCGATACCACTTTTTTAAGACCGAGTACGAGTACCGATACTTTTGATCAAGTACTCGCAGATACCAATTACCGATACTTTTTCTTAAAGGGACAGGTCACATTTTTTGTAAAGCAACACAAACTAATGCTTTAAGGTCACTTTCTTAATATTATGATTCATGAGATGACGAGGAAGCATGACGCCGGCTTCCCGGCCAATCAGAATGCGGGGCGCTGCGTCATTACATGGCGCCCGGCTTCCGGATTTGTTAGCTTTCTGACCAATCGGGAAGCCGGGCAGCGCGTCATTGCACGCTACCAGGCTTCCTGATTGGCCGGGAAGTCGGCTCCATGCTCTCTCATCACAAGTGACGAGAGAGCATGGAGCCGTTTCCTGACCAATCAGGAAACCGTGCAGTGTGTAATGACGCGCTGCCTGGCTTCCCGATGTGCTGCCCGGCTTCCTGATACAGGAAGTACTGGTGCTAGGTATCGGAGCATTTGGCCGAGTACGAGTACGCACCCAAATACTCGGTATCGGCACCGATACCGATACTAGTATATAATCAGGGCTCGAAAATCCACTCGTCTGCTCGTCTGTGACGAGCAGACAGTGGAGCCCGACGAGCAGCTTCCAGGCCGGCCGTTGTAATTACACGGCCGGCCGGGAGCTTTACAGTCAAGCGATCGAGCGTCTATAGAGACGCTCGATCGCTTGTGTCAGAAGCTGTCACTGCCGTTGCCGGTCCCGAGATCCGCTGTGCCCGATGCGGCCGGGACCGGCACGGCTCTGTGACAGGAGATCAAAGGGAGTTCAGTACACGAACTCCCTTTGATCTCCTCTCAGTCCCCGAATGCAGGAAGTGATGTATATTACATCACTTCCTGCATTCAGTGTCACTCTCCAGCTACAGAAGCTGATGAAGCCGATCTCTGCCTCATCAGCTTCTCTGGGGGTCCTTAGGTGACTTTAGGGGTCTTGGAGACCCCTGATGTCTCCATTAAGAGGACCTGTCATGCAAATTAGCTATCACATAGGGGGCTTCTTAGCCCCCCATGTAATAGCAATAAAGTTGTGTTAAAAAAAAAAGTAATATAAAAATTAAAGAATCATAAAAAAATAAATAAAGCATAAAAAAAATTAAAAAAGAAAACATTTTTTTAAGTCCCCCGCCCCCCACATACACACGTAGATATGCGTTGGTTGCGCCTACGTGCGAAAACGACGATTGCGCCTATAGTGCTGCACATGTTACATATCGCCGCAAATGTCGGAATGAGAGCAATAATTCTAGAGCCATCAATCACTGATAACACTAAACTGATGAGCAGTAAAAGCATTTTAATCGTCGCGTATGGGCGTTTTTTGCGATTTTGCGGGTGCACGCAATTTTAAGGCTTGACATGTTTGGTGTCTATTTACACGACGTGACCCCGACTTTTATGTTGTACTAAAAATATGGGTAAGAATAAATGTTTTATAACATAGGGAAACTTTTTTTTTTATTTTTTTACATTTATGGTACTTTTTTCATTATAAAGTAAAAACAAATAACCCCCCCGTGGGGTCACAAAAGAAACCTCTATCTGTCCCCAAAATTTTTTAACATATATTGCAAGGCTATAGTCCGGTCATGCTGACTGGTGAAATTTTTGACTGACTGGTGAGACACCGCCAAATTTTTCAAGCCCTGTATATAATATACATCCCTAATAGTTATATAAAGAAAAAAGGAGAGTCCTCCAACAGAAAAGCATACTTCAGAAGAGGAGAGTTGGATAGAGGAAGTTGAAGAGTTCTTCAGCAGAAAAGAATATTTCAGGATAGGAGAGTTAGATAGAGGAAAGAGAAGAGTCCTCTGGCAGTTCAGAGAGTTTCAGGTGAGGAGAGTTAGATAGAGATAGAGGAAGGAAAAGAGTTATCCAGCAGTTTAAAGAATTTTAGGAAATTATATTTATATAAAGAAAAAGGAGAGTCCTCCAGCAGAAAAGTATACTTCAGAAGAGGAGAGTTGGATAGAGTAAGGAGAAGAGTCCTCCATCAGTACAGAGTATTTCAGGAGAGGAGAGTTAGATAGAGTAAGGAGAAGAGTCCTCCATCAGTACAGAGTATTTCAGGAGAGGAGAGTTAGATAGAGGAAGGTGCAGAGTCCTCCAACATCCAGAGACATATAGACTCTTCTGTGAAAAGATACACATTGGAGCGTTGTATGTGTGCCCCATTCCTCATCTGCAGGAATCCCCCTAGTTAGGAAACATAAGTCTCTTATACGTTCTCTTCTACTCTCTCAGTCTGGGATCTATGATGACGACCTCTACGATGGTGCCTGGTGCGCGGGTGAGAAGAACAAGAATCAGTGGTTGGAAGTGGATGCCAGGAGACTAACTCGCTTTACTGGAGTCATCACTCAGGGCAAGAACTCAATATGGACGTGAGTATACCACACAGCTCCTGCTGGACACACCTTCAGGGCCATTCCGGTGACCCGTCTACACGGGTGTAGAAATTACATTATTTTATTTTTAATTTTTAAATTGGAACTAAAGTTCACTGGGTGCCATAATGGGCATGTATGCACAGTACACTAGAGACCACCCTACTCCAGTGATGATCAATCCAGACTCTCTTAGGTCATCTCTGCGTCCACACTGTTGCCATCTTTTCTGTTGCTTTTCTGGGTCCCTTGTCTCTCTTTGCTGGGCACTGGGCTGATACTGATGAAGTAATTGCTGGCTGCGTCTGACTCTGAACACAGAAGTTTCATCATTCTGGCACCTGGCTCTGTCCTCAGCATCTGACTGGTGCTGGGAATGAGAAGGGAATGGACATCATACAGACCATGCTCTCTTTGGCAGAAGATACTATGTAAAAAATTTACCTTCTAGAAATGTTTTATTTTAGCAGTTTGGTTACACTTTAATTTCATTTTGCCACGTCAAGACAATGATTATGCAGATGCTGTGAAAGGGCTGCCTAGAGCAGACTTGGATTTTAGCCTACATCCTTTATTAAACCTCTACAGTGACTCATGGCCGAGAGAGAGAGCCCAGCCCAGGCCACTGTGCCAGTGGGGAATCCCTGACTGAAGTATTTACAAGATCTCAGATCATCTGCCTGTATTATATAAGGGTCTATTCATCCATAACCACCATTAAAAATCATGGAGCTCCGTATAGCCTACCTGACAGTGCCCCCCCCCCCCCCCCCCCAGGGGTGCTTGCATTGTGATCTGGGGAAGCAGCAATCAGGTATGCATGCAGATTGACACATACTGTATGTTGTGATGAGGGTCGGTATGTCTGATCTCTGCCTCATATTCACAGGGCAGCAGTTCCTCAGGTGGGCCAGTGCACAAGTTCCCCTCTGTTTATATGCTTTGGTTTTATATTTTGTGTCTCAGTATATTCCACTGTTCCGCCCCATGGGGCTGCCCCTATCAGGGCTGGGTTCCCCTCTTGACCTGATGGGCCCAGTACACATGCACTGTCAGTGCCTTCCCTATCAGAGAACCTGTATTCATCAAAGGTCCAACTTGATGTTGGTGGAAGGGAGAATATGCTTTTCAGCAGTGCTGCCTACTTCATAATGGTAAAATTGATCAATTAATGGGAAGAATTTACAAATTTGTTAAAGTTTTTCCTCCTGAAAAGTCTGTAAAAAGTAAACACCATCCAAAACCATTATCTGCTATTTTCCATGGAAGGTAACTGGAGGAGGAACCAGGTTGGTGATGAATTTTGTTTTACATTTTTGTTTCACTTTGTAGTCATTTTTTTTTACCAGTGTTCAGCATTTTTTTTACACCTGGACACAGAAACTTCCCACAGCTGAATGTTATAAACTGGAGAAAACTGCAGGCGACCTTTTCCAGCTATAGAACAAAAACAGACCTGGGAGAATAAAATTAATGCAAGGGCAACATGACTGGGTGGGGTAGTCCCCAGAAAAAGTTAAAATGTAAGAGGACAGAGTAAGAGACCTTGCCTGATTGGAGGTTGATGGTCAAGTGGTTAGGAGAAGTTGCAGGTGTTGGACTGTGGTGATGGCTGGGAGATCATTCCAGATAAATTTGTAGGGTTACATGAAAGGAAAATGAATCATGCTTCAGTTGGTGGTTAGGGCTTCTTTGGGCATCTGTGGAATAGTGGGATAGTTCCAAAAAACAAAGACAGACCCGGGAAAAAATTATTGGGGAGGGGCTTCATGATTGGGGGAGGGGGGAGGTGAATAGTGCCAAGAAAGAGTTAAAATGTAAGAGGACAGTGTAGGTGCAAGAAGCCTTACCGGATTGAAGGTTGACAGTCAAGTGCTTTAGAGAAGCTTCTGGTGTAGGAGTTGTGGTGATGGTTGGGAGATCATTCCAGAAGCATGGACAAGAGGAGACAGTTGTCCCACCCGTCCACCTTTCAAGTCAACTGGGTTAGATTAAAGAAATTTTTATCACAGCCGCTTGGCAGGTAGGGAGTCTTTGGGGATCTGTGGAGTAGTGGGATGGTTACAAAATGTTGGGCCCATCTGGTGTTATGGTATCCATGTGTTGACCACTTAGGATGGCAGAAAATGGTCAAATTGGTCGATCAGGTAGGGTGTAGCTGTGGAGAGGGTTGACAGTCAAACCTTTGGACTAGTGGACTCCAAAGACCCTCCCTTAGAATCCAACAGTTTTCATGTTATTTATTGAGAATGGTTCATTTTGGTCATCTATTATATTGTCAGTTGTTTCATTGTGGTTACCTAATGGGCTGCTGGGGCCATTTCAAATCCATGTCGCTTGGTCTGTGTATTTATTCTGGTTTAATGGGAAGGGACAAACTCGACAAATCCTGCAGTCATTTACAATTTGTGTTCAAATTATGCCATGCCATATCTGCAATATGAAATTGATAGAAAGTCACTTACACTCCAACTTGATACTTGGTCAATCTCTTTATTGACCATAGTAGCGTCACATGGCAAAGCGATGTTTCCGAACCATCTGGTCCCTTCCTCAGGCAAACATAGTTCTGAAACGTCACTTTACAATGTGACACTACTATGGTCAATAAAGAGATTTAACAAGTATCAAGTTGGCGTGCGAGTGGCTTTCTATCGATTTCATGTAACTTGAAGGCATCTGCCTTTACATGCAGCACATCCCCCCCCCCCTGATTTCAGGGTTTTTTCCGGTCAGGAGTGCAATGGGACATACTTTGTTTTGATATCTGCTATCTGTTTTCTTTCCAGGGATGACTGGGTGACATCTTACAAGGTCCAGGTCAGCAATGACACTCATACATGGAAGACCTGCAAGAACGGGACAGAGGAAGTGGTAAGAGGATACATCCCATACCATTGGTTCATTGTCTCATATGGACTGTAAATGCTGTATACTAATTATTTATAGACTTATATTATATATAATATTTTTTCAATATTCTAATCAATTCTAGCAATTATAAATTTGATGTCACTACCATTGTGATTGTTTGTTTTAGATTGATCTGATTTTGTAGGATCCGATAGGATAGGTTTCCAGTAGGGATGCACCCATACCACTTTTTTAAGACCGAGTACGAGTACCGATACTTTTGATCAAGTACTCGCAGATACCAATTACCGATACTTTTTGTTAAAGGGACAGGTCACATTTTTTTTAAAGCAATACAAACTAATGCTTTCTTAATATTATGATTCATGAGATGACGAGGGAGCATGATGCCGGCTTCCCGGCCAATCAGAATGCCGGGCGCTGCGTCATTACACGGCGCCCGGCTTCCGGATTTGCTAGCTTCCTGACCAATCGGGAAGCCGGGCAGTGCGTCATTGCACGCTACCCGGCTTCCTAATTGGCTGAGAAGTCAGCTCCATGGCTAATCAGGAAACCGGGCAGCGTGTAATAATGCGCTGCCCAGCTTCCTGATACCGGAAGTACTCGTGCTAGGTATCGGAGCATTTGGGCGAGTACGAGTACTCCCCCAAATACTCGGTATCGGCACCGATACCGATACTAGTATCGGTATCGGTGCATCCCTAGCTTGCAGAATTCTGATCATTTTCCAGCCAGTCGTATGGTTTATGGTGCAATTTACTGATTATAACATGATAACTTTCCATTCTTGTTTTCCTTTTCCAATAACATTGTCACATTACAAAGCGATCGGATCGATGTAGATGCATTTACTGGGGGAATCCATGACTTACTGACTCCCACCAGGCTCCACTCGTAATTAAAACAAAAACTTTTTGGGTGGACAGGCCCTCTAAGATAAAGGCAATTTGAGCGCTTCCATTTGAAATCAGCTGTTTAAAATTTGTAGTGCAGCAAAAGGTTTAATTTTTTAAATTATATATCTCAGTGTTATTTGTATGTGGCCGAGATTGTGAAGCATCTGAACAATAACCGCTTATAGACTGAGAGGTTCTGGTTAGACCGAAGTCTGTTTCTCATTTGATTGTGGGCGAGCTGTGTGTATTCAGATGGTGCGGGGATAAGACGGG